TAACATATAAATTATATTTTATTTTATATTTGTGAAAAATAGTTTATATTATGATACAAAATTATTTTAAATAATGTTTTTAAAATACTAAAAATAAAAATATAAAATTTATTTAAAAAAAATAAGAAACAATATACATTAAACAAAATACCTAAAAATAATCTCATTAAAATCATTAATTGCCATATTACTTATAATTATTATTGATATCATATTTATTTATGATTTTTTTAATTTCTTTTATATATCCTCAAATTAAATATTATTTATTTATTCAAAATCATTTTAAGAATAAAACATAGTGATTTGATATGTTAGTGAGATGAAAATAAAAAAAAAATATTTTATTAAAAAAACTAAAATTTATTTATTTTACAAATATTACAAATATCTCACAAAGAGCAAAATTAATATTTATAAATTAAAAAAAATAAAAATAAAAATTATAGAGATTAAAACCAAAATTTATTTATTTTATAAACACTAAAATTATATTTAAGTTATATTTATTAAAGTAAAATGATATATTGTGAAAGATAAGAAAATATAAAAAATAATCAATAACTACAAATGTTCCCATCGATGATCGAACTAAAAAAAATGGCTAAATATACTTTAGTACGAGAAACCTGTTTATATTTAATATATAAGATTAATTTAATGCGAGTTTTAATTGTTTACTAAGTATAGTAAGAGTGTATATCCTATAAACATTATAAACATGAATGAGTATCGAGATAGTGTTTTAGACGCTTATTTTTAAAAAAAAATAATAATAACAGTATTAGATGCTTTTCTTCTTAAAATTATTTTAATATAATTTTTGTTTATTATAAATTAAATTTTAATATTTTAAAATAAATAATAATAATAAAAAATAATTTATCTCACAATATAATTTATTATTTGTATGTATGTATTTGTTAATTATAAAATACAAGTTAAGAAATAGTGAGTAGAGTAAGAATATGTGAATAAAAAATAAATAAAAAAAAAAGCGGTGAGATAAGAAAGAGATAGGGTATGATGTTTGTCCATAGATCTAATCAAAGGTAGCGCACACGGCACACATATATAGGCTAAGGTAAAGACGCTCTTCCTCAGATACTCTCTCTTCTCTTCTCTTCTCTTCTCTCTTCACAACATCTAGGGTTAGGGTTAGGGTTAGGGTTAGGGTTTGCCTTAGGCTTAGGGCTTCGCTTCAACTCGACTGTTTTTCGATCTGTCGTTGCCTTGTTATGGATCGCAAGAGGGGCAGGCCTGAAGCTGCCTTCAACGCCAATGGCGGCGCCAAGAAATCCCGCCCAGGTTCGTCTTTACTCTTTACTCACTTCCCTTCCATTCTTCTCCTTTTCTCTCTCTGCTTTTACTTTTCTTCCTGCTTCTTTACAACCCCTTCTTCTCTTCATCCATCTTTCTTAGATGCGCTACTTTTTTTTTTCTTTTTTTTTTTTTTTAATGGAACAAGAGCGTCTTACAAAATCTTAAAAAATGTTAGGGCTATTTCGTTCCCGCTTCTCTCTGTCAATTTTACCACATACTGTTCAGTCTTTTCTAAAATTTCATAAAATTTAGGTTTTGTCGTGTTAATTTATATTGGATGTTGAATTATTATGTCGAGCACCTTGCTCTCAAAGCACCCGCTATTCATGAAATTAAATGAGCTAATATTCATCACATAATAGCAAAAAAATGGCTATTGGGTGTTACCCAAGTTGAATCATAAAACATCAATAATTTTAACTGAGAGGACTTAATTAATGTTCTGTAACAGAAACGGACTCCTTTCCATCTGGTTTAGGAAGCAAATCGAAGCCATGCACAAAGTTTTTCAGGTTCAAATCTTTAACTTGTCTAAAATAAAATTTAATTCACTCTGATATATGTATAATGTTTTAGAAAATTTTGATACAAAATCTCTGCAAGCAGAATTCATATTATTATTTGACTAATGAATTGGGTAGTTAAAGCTTTGATACAGGTCCTACTTCTAATTACGATAACAAGACTATGAACAGAAATTGTTGATTCTCAAGAATGATCAGTTCTATTAAGTGCTTCCTGGATTATATATAAATGAAAGAAGTTCTATGAGATGCTTAACTTGATCTACATATTTGGTTGTACTTGTATACAATTTTCTACAATCTTTGCAAGTAAAGAGGTCTGATGCAGATCACTGAAATGGCTATAGCAGTATATGGCTTAAGAAATGCTATATTTCTATCAATACACCGAAACATAATTGGAATGTTGTTTGCAAGCAGCATTCTCAACATACTTCATTCTGATTTGTTTTGAAATTATTGTAATTATTTGGTGTTAAATGATGATAATGTTGTTTCTTATGTTACTATACTGCTTAGTTGACTATACACATCTAGACATGATATGCTTCTATGCATGTGAAAATCATTATGTCCTCCATATGCAATTGTTTGCTTTTGCAAATCTTCCAACTGACATGCCAAATAAGACTTCAAGTATCACTACTAGATGGAATTGCACCTTCAGTTTTTTTGTTAACTTCAGCATCTTCCTTACTTTCGTTAACCCTTGATCTCTCTCATTTGCCCTGGAATCTGGAACAATCTTTTGTTGTTTGCTCAGTTTTGTCTTATCTAACAATGTATTGTTGTCAACTTATATTAATGATTTTTTTTTTGAGTGGTTACATCATTTCTTTGTGTAAATGTTTATTTCATGAAAATCTTGATGCAGATAGATATTTGTCTTTTTTTATGTTTAAAGTTGGTGGTTGTTGCATCATCTTGATTGATACTAACTACTAAGTAATTACTATGTAGAAGTTTCTATGCTAGGAAGTGGTCTCAGCTGATTGGAGATTAATATATGTATCGATATATTTTCACAATGCTTCTTTGTAAGAGTAGACCTTTTACAACACATATATGTACACTCACAAAATATTAGGATTAAGCCTTTTACCTGTGTTTTCAGTCACAAGGTTTGACATAACCTTGCTGTCTTTCCTTGCTTTGCATATCTCTCGGACTTGAAACATGGAGAGGTTATGAGTTTGTTCCTTCTGGTTTGTTTTCGGTAAATGATTTCTATTGTTCGAGTCTAAACTCTGAATTAATAAAAAGCCTCTGCTAATAATAAGGAATTGGGTCATCCTCGAACAATCTGGTAAATCAATCAGCCATTTATATCATTATCCTGTTTGCACATTATACAGACAGTTACTGTACACCAAGGAAGCTGCTGATTTGCAGTGTTTCTTGAGTTTGGATTTCTATTCAAACTCATTATCATTCCTGATTTATTCTAGTGACAATCTCTATTTCTGTAATTTAAAATTGTCCTGCCACCATATTTTCTCATTTGTTCTCTACTTTTTAAGATACATGTGTGCCGTGAATGTCTGATAATTGTTCGTCTCACAATTCACAACTCTTGCACACCTCTATAGTCTGTACTATTGTATTGTGTAGCGGCCCCTGGCTGCTACATGCAGTGCCATAGTGTTATACTTCACAGTAGCAGCAGCCAAAATAGTATCATTTTGGAGTGCTATATAATATGGCCACTAAGCTTATGGTGGCCAAAATCTTGAGAATGTCCTCCAATACTGACATACGAGAGGCGATATATGGTGATAATTTTTGGATTTTTGGTAAAAAGGGTTAGAATTCTTTTGAGTTCATAACTATCATGCCTCACTTTTCTTCTCTCCTACCTTGACTACTGTGTGACCCCTGTCCGGCCCTCCAGTGAGCAATATATGACCATCTGGCAATTTTCAGCAACCCATGTAGCAGCTTTTTTATATCTCTCTTTCTCATTCTTTTTTTTTCTTCTCTTTTCTCCTAAAGTCTTGTTTTCATTGTTCTCTTTCTAATCTGTTTTGTGTTTTTGTTTTTATACCATCGATTTTCCTTTCCTGTTTTCTCTTCCATCAGTCTATCTTCTCTGTTTATTGTCCCTTGGTCCAAGTCTTTGAGGCCTTTTGTTTTGGTCATCTTCTCCCAGACTCATTCATTCTTTTACTCCATCTCTTTGGCTAATCATGGCATCCTTTGTTACTGTTTAGTGTTTAGTATTTACTTGTGTATGTTTGCTCAAGAGATACGACCTTTAACTTTTTATTGTAAATTTATGTGTATTTAGTATGAATTATGTAAACTGTAAAAGAATTCAAAATAGCCTCATGATAATAATCATGTGATTGTGTCTTATGGATCTTAAATTTTCCATTATCCTCTGTTAATGTGTATTGTTAATGTTCATTGATTTAGCAATTTGATGTTTTTAGCCTTTCTATGTTTGCTGCTACTTTTATGAGAAATCAGATTGAGCATTGTTGAGTTACTGCTGAGAAGTATTATTTTAGGCTTGAAGAATGCATACAGTTTATTATTTGATAAAGTGCTGCATGAAGTAAATTAGATATGCCTGTTGTAGTCTGTTTCATGTTATCTCTTGTTATAAGAGGTGCTCAAAGTACTCCATTTAAGCCATATTATTTGTACTTGATTATACTGTAACCATCAATATTATCCCATTTTATCATTAGAATACTTGAACTTTAAGTGTGCCATCTTATTTGTGATACTGTATATATCTGGACCTTATTTTTCCCAGTATTATGCTATACCGTTGTTGGGGTATTCAGTATTGCTTGTTACTTTGGTAATCATTGTGATTTGCACTGTTAAAAAAATCCCCCATATAATATTCAATTGTATTTTTGCTTTAACCAGAGAGATATTTTCAAATTACAAAAAAAAATTAGTTGCTTTGTATATTGGCAATAGTTTTGCAAGGGAAAGTATATAAATTCGTTAATGGTGCAACTTTGGTGTATGTTATCCCTCTGCTAATTTTCAGTTTCATATTCAATGAACTGGATTAGGTCAAACTGGATCTATAATTTTGGAATCTTACTAGTTGGTTACATGTCTTATGTCATCTGTTTTCATCTATTGTGCAGCACATCTGGCTGTCCATTTGGTGAAGGATGTCATTTCCTGCATTATGTTCCTGGTGGCTTCAAAGCTGTCTCTCAGCTGATCAATGTTAGTAGCAATCCTGCTATTCCTCAAGGTGGTGGTAGAAATCCTGTTCCACCATCCTTCCCAGATGGGTCGTCTCCTCCAGTTGTTAAAACCCGATTGTGCAACAAGTTTAATACAGCTGAAGGTTGCAAATTTGGTGACAAATGTCACTTTGCCCATGGTGAGTGGGAGCTTGGAAGGCCTACGGTCCCATCATATGAAGATCCCCGTGGCTTGGGACAAATGCAAAGCAGAAGGGTTGGTGGGCGAATTGAGCCCCCAATTCCAGCTCATGGAGCTGCTGGCGGCTTTGGAGCCTCGGCTACTGCAAAAATTAGTATCAATGCTTCACTAGCTGGAGCTGTCATTGGAAAAAATGGTGTCAACTCTAAGCAAATATGTCGTGCAACAGGAGCCAAACTTTCCATAAGGGATCATGATTCAGATCCTAACCTTAGAAACATTGAACTTGAAGGCAGTTTTGATCAGATCAAACAAGCCAGTGCCATGGTTCACGAACTTATTCTAAATGTCAGTTCTGCATCTGGGCCTCCAATGAAAAGCATTACTACACAGAGTTCTGCTGCCCCGTCAAACAACTTCAAGACTAAGCTATGTGAAAACTTTGCTAAAGGTTCCTGCACTTTTGGGGAAAGGTGTCACTTCGCACATGGAGCTGATGAATTGCGCAAGCCTGGAATCTGATAGAGTTATAATTTTTCATGGTTTTAGTGAGGATTGAATTGTGCAAAATTTTCTACTTTTCAAATTTTTCAATCAGTTTCTAATTTGCCGCGTGATAACTAATTGATTCTTACCTCAGCTTCTAAAATTTAATTGCTTTCCGCTATCATCATATTTCGTGAAGAAAAACTTGTGTCCGTACAGTAAAATAGTATGAAAATAAATTAGCATTTTCCTTAGAGCAAAACTCTCCAACAATGCTAAGAGGTATATTATTCTATTACCAACATTTTATTCCTATAACCCAAAGTTAAAAGACCCCAAAAGAAAATCGGTATCTCCACTAAACACCTCGTTTCATGGATAATAGCTGCGGACAAGTATGAAGGAGAAACAAACGGATTTAGGGATAATGTGTGTATATATATATATATAAATTATCGGTGTAATTTTTATTAAGTATTATATTTTTTTAATAATTTTATATAAAATGTAAATGTAAATGTAAATCTAATTGATAAATTGAAAATTTTTTATTTTTAAATTATATATATAAATTTTTATATTAATTTAAAATAATTTAATATTTTATTTTT